ACTCCCTGCAGCAAAGGAACCCTCCGATGACAACGCTGGCATTTTGCTTTATGTCTCCAGGCGTTTTCCTGCATTTATTAGTACTTTCCCCCCCCCAAATGACGACAGTCTCCACATTATTTTATAACTTGCTCTTTGCATTTAATGTGGCAGGTATGTTTCCATGTCACTGGAGGGCTTCGGAATAGGTTTTAACAGTCACGTGTCTCCTGTACCCCGGAGTGCGCCAGCACGTGTTCACCCAGTTCCTTGTCTTACTCTTCATTTTGAAAAGTCATAAAACCCATGGCCGTTGGAATCGACAGGTCACTCTCGAGTGCCCTTTACCCGGTGTCCCCGGTTGTTGGCCATGTTCGTAGTTGCCTTTCCGTCCTCCCTCCGCACATTGATTTTTCCGACGTGGTCCTGATTGCCCTTTAACTCTTCGTGGCGTGATTCCCGGAAACGAGGCCATTGCCCTGTGACCACAGCGTGATCCTCGCATTCAGGAAATCGACGCTGAAGTAACTGCTGCACGCACCCCCGGCCTCCGTCCGGCTCCTCCGGGGCCTCAGGCTCCCGCCGGGGTTTCAGGACCCGCGCCACATCTGTGCTCAGGTGTGGGTTCCCAGCGACACCCTCCAACCGGGGACAGACCCGCCCTCGTCGTTAGCGACCTTGACTTTTTGGAAAAGGGCAGTCAGTAACTTTCAGCTTCGCCTGCTGGTTCCCTATCATTAGATTCTGCTGCAGGTATATTTTGGCAGAAACATGGTAACACATCGAAGCGATGCTAGATTCTTCTCATTGCATCGTATGGGCAGGCACACAGGGCTGACGTGCACCATTTGGGGTAATCATTTTTGTTGCCATGGTTGCATTTTTAGTCCTAAATTTCCATTCACCTGGCGAGGCTCAGTGGTTGAGCATCAACCTGTGAACCAGGAGGTCAGGGTTCGATTCCCGGTCAGGGCACGGGCCCGGGTTGTTGGCTCGATCCCCAGTGGGGGCCGTGCAGGAGGCAGCGGGTCCATGATTCTCCCTCATCACTGATGTTTCTCCCTCTCCCTCTCCCTTCCTCTCTGAAGTCAATAAAAAGTACTTTTTTTTAAAAGGGAAGCAGGTGTCCTGACCCCTCCCGCAGCCCATGGCACAGCCTTCCCCTGCAGCATAGGCCGCGCGGGCGGACAGCCAGGCCGACTCTGCTGTTCCCGCGTCACTGACTGTCACTGCGGCCTGAGCGCCTCGCACACCAGTCCCGGGGGAGCCGGGGGCAAGCCCGCTCCGGGGGACGGGATGAGGGGTGCCGTTCCCTCGGGAATGGGCTCCAGGAGGCTGTGTCCGCAGGCGAGAGCCGGGCTCTGCAGGCTGGGGAGTCGCGCTGGCCTCCACGTGAACTTCATTTTCCCTCCACCCGGTCCCGCCTCCATCTGCGGACCCTGCCCTGACCTCTGCTTCGCCCCCAGCTGCTGCTCGAGCACCAGGACGCGTACCAGGCCGGGGCCGTGTTTCCCGACGCCTTCTACCCGGGCATCTGCCAGAGAGGTGAGCCCTCCCCTCCCCCACCCCGTCTCCCACCTGCCCTGGGCTGAGTTCAGAGTTGTGTCCCGTGAGCTGGGGTCCCTTGCCCTTCCCCTCTTCCTTGGGGCCCACAGGAGCGCCCAAAGGCTTGGAGGGCAGGTGGAGGGAGATGATGCGGGGGGGTGGGGGAGGGGGCCCCCTGCTGCTCCAGGCAGGTCCTGAGCCCTGGCTCTGTCTGTCAGGGCGCTTTCACGAGGTGTCCGAGAGCACCCACTGGACCCCCTTCCTCAACGCCAGCGTCCACTACATCCGGGAGCACTACCCCCCGCCCTGGGAGAAGGTGGGCCCTCATCCTTGCCTCCTCGCCCCCACCCCGCTCTGCCCTCAACGCCAAGCACAGCACCGGGGCCCGGCAGGCGCTGGTTCACACGTGAAATTATTTTGAGGGTTTGGGGCAGGTCACGGGGTCGCTTTGCTCCGACACTAAGTCATCGGGAAGCACCTGAAACACGGCACAGGTCCTCCGTGGGTTTGGTAACTAGACACGGATTTTGTTGTTAATCCTCACTGAGGATATCTCCCATTGGTTTTTAGAGAGTAGGAGGGAGAGGGAGAGACAGACACATCACCGGTTGCCTCCTGCACACACCCGACCAGGGTCGGGGCACCTGCAACCAAGGTACGTGCCCTCGACCAGAATCGAACCCGGGACCCTTCAGTCCGTGGGCCGATGCGCTCCCCACTGAGCCACAACGGCCAGGGCTAGACACGGATTTTCCGTTAAGCGTCAGTAACGGAAACGAATTCACATTTATTTTTATTTCTATGTAAACCTTTATTGTTGAAAGTATGTCCCCCTCCCCCCACTGACCCCCTGGAGTTCACACTTATTAAGACGCCCCCCGGGGGTCGCGGACGAGCCCGGGCTCAGGCGGTGTGTTTGCGGGCAGGACGCGGAGAAGCTGGTGGCCTTCCTGCTCGGCGTCACGTCGCACATGGTGGCCGACGTCAGCTGGCACAGCCTGGGCATCGAGCAGGGCTTCCTGCGGACCATGGCCGCCGTGAGTGCCGCCCGTCAGCCTTCCCGGGGACCCGCCGCCGAGGTCAGAGGGGCCCCCCAGGGAGAGGGACACGTCCGGGCGCTCACGTCGCGGGAATAGGCTTCCTGCCCAAAGCGCAGTTAGTAGGTTTCCTCTTTTTAAAAAATGTATTTGTGCTGATTTCAGAGAGGAAGGGAGAGGGAGAGAGAGACATCAATGAGAGAGAGTCATGCATCGCTGCCTCCTGCACGCCCCCCACTGGGGATGGAGCCCCGAACCCGGGCCTGTGCCCTGACCGGGAATCAGACCGTGACCTCCTGGTGCCTAGGTCGATGCCCCCCCCGGAGCCTCGCCGGCCGGTTATTTTGGGCTTTTCTTCCTGTTCAGTTTCCTGAGTGGAAATGCCATTTCCCAGGGGGCACTGTGGTCTCACCCGGGGCCTCGGCCTCCGGAGCCCCGTCCGTCAGTGCGGACAGGGTTCTGTGAGGCGGGTGAGGACTCGGGGAGACGTGTGGCTGGCGGACAGGCGTATGCATCCCCGCAGCTTCATCTGGCAGCTCAGTGGCCAGTGTGACTCCTCCAGCAGATGAATGGGAATAAGTAGGAAAGCCAAGTGCTTCCCTGGACCCTGAGCCGCCCGCCCGCACCCTCGGGGCCGCCCGTCCGCTTGCGGGGAAGGGGCGGCTGCTGGGCGATGCCTGAGACGATGGTTCTCTGCCCCTCAGATGGACTTTCACGGCTCCTACTCCGAGGCGCACCCGGCTGGAGATTTTGGTACGTTTTCTCACTTGCCAAAGTTCCTTCTGCGGTAGATTTCATGTGTAATGAAGCCACTATTTAAAAGTGTATTTTTAAATATGTTTTTATTGCCCTGACTGGTTTGGCTCAATGGATAGAGCGTCGGCCTGTGGACTGAAGGGTCCCAGGTTCGATTCTGGTCAAGGGCATGTACTGTGGTTGCGGGCACATCCCCAGTGGGAGGTGTGCAGGAGGCAGCTGATCGATGTTTCTCTCTCATCAATGGTTCTAGCTCTCTATCCCTCTCCCTTCCTCTTGGTAAAAAATCAATAAAATATATTTTTTTTAAAATTAAAAAATAAGTACGTTTTTATTGATTTCAGAGAGGAAGAGAGAGTTAGAAACATCAATGATGAGAGAGAATCATGGATCGACTGCCTCCTGCACACCCCCCACTGGGGATTGAGCCCGCAACCCGGGCCTGTGCCCTGACCGGGAATCGAAACCCTGACCTCCTGGCTCATAGGTGGACACCCAACCACTGAGCCACGCCAGCCGGGCTGTGTGTGTGTGTGTGTGTGTGTCGTTTTTGTCATATCTTGCCAGCAGCACATACTGACTGCTTTCTGCTTTCATGTTGTGGTTCACCCAGCGCATGGGCACACCTCGTTTAACAGCCATGCACTTCCGAGCAGTTGTGAACATGTGTATTTTTTGAAGAAAAAAAATCACATTTTATTGACTTGCGTTATAGCTTTAGAAACACTTTTCTTTTATAGCAGATGGACGTTCGTGGCCTCGTGTCTGCTAACGCACAAGCTCTTAGTCGGTAGCCGTCCCTTCTCTGTAGGCAATCACCTGTAAATATCCAACCGATGTGAGCGGTGGCGTCTGAAGGAACGTCGCGGCCTGTCTTTCCTTAGCGCAAAAGGCACTTTGGTTACAGGGTCACTTTCCCCTCAATTCATGCTTCACTCGCTAAGATTTTAAAAGATCAAATTCCATAGCCCTGACTGGTTTGGCTCAGTGAATAGAGCGTCAGCCTGTGGACTGAAGGGTCCCAGGTTTGATGCCGGTCAAGGGCATGTACCTTGGTTGTGGGCACATCCCCAGTAGGGGGTATGCAGGAGGCAGCTGATCCATGTTTCTCTCTCATCAATGTTTCTAGCTCTCTATCTCTCTCCCTTCTTCGCCTACACCTAAAACAACAAACAAAAGCGTGTAATGGCTGAGCAGACGCGTGTAACGGCTGAGCAGACGCGTCCAGCGGGCTCCTCACGTCACAGTTCGGGTTGTGGGAACCTGTGGGCAGCGCTGCTCCCGGGGTCTCTGACCATGTCGTGTTTTGCTCCCGCAGGCGGAGACGTGCTGAGCCAGTTCGAGTTCAACTTTAATTACCTCGCGCGGCACTGGTGAGAGCGGGAGCGACAGACAGGCCCGTCCACACGCGTCTACGGGGCGCGACCCTGTCCGGGAGGCGGAGCTCCCCATCCTCGGGCCTGTGCCGTGCGGATGCAGAAAGCAGAGCTGCGGACTAGACGGCACGGACGGCCCAGCGGGCTCCTCACGGGTCTGAGGCCGCAGCGGAGAGGAGAGAGGGCGCGTTCCCTGAGCGGCAGGCGCCCGGTGCGCGGCCGGAAGGAGCCACCGTTTCCTTTTAACCGGGGCCTCGCGGTCCCCGAGGGGGCGGCTGGGAATCCCCCTGTGGTGGTTTCGTCCCTCCTGCCCTTTTGCTGCCCACGTGCTTGAACGGACGTCGTTAGGAGCATTCAGGTTTCAAAACCTGGCACCTGCCTGGCACGCGGAGCCTGGGTCACGAAGCCGTGGCCTCCATCGCCCGTAGCGCTGTTGCCCCCGTGGCCTGACCGGGTGCCGCTGCAGCCACGCCCTGTCGCACGGCTTTTTTCTCTGAATGTTTACGAAGCTGTCGGAGGTGGCGGAGTCTGTCCCCAGTCCCAGCCCCTGAGGCGGGAGGCTGGGTGGGGCGGACGCCTGCAGACCGAAGAGAAGGGAGGCCCCGGGCGGGGGGTCGGGGGGGCATGGCAGATGTCCCGGCAGTGCCCGCCCTGTCCCTGGTCCAGCTGCCTCAGAACTGAGGGCGCCAGAACCAGCGAGTCACTCAGGCCCGCGGCGCCCAGGGAGAGGGGGACACAGGCGTCCGCACCGCACTGCCGCCTCTCCGTGTCCATTGGTTTGGGGCTTTGGAAAGTTTTCACTTTCTTACTTGCCTGGTGATTGACACAAGAAAGTATTTTTGTTATTTTCAACAAAAACCTAGTCTTTTAGGCTATTTTTATTGGAAGGACCATCCTGGGTTCTTGTAAAAATAGAAACTGGGCCCCAACAGATTCTTTCTCAGACACTGACGCCTGGAGAGCGAGGGCCTCGGGGAGGAAGCGGAGGGGCGCCCAGCACAGAGCGGAGGCGCTGCCGGTCCCCCCGGAAACAGCTCGTGTCTGTGACCCGACCCAGTTCTCCCCCCTCCTCACGGGCCGGGGAGCAGGGGGTCGGGTGGCAGCCATTGTCTTACAACAATGATCGTGAGACCATTTCAACTGAAAAGAGTGAAAAGGCTGCCCTGCTCCTGGGACTCTGGACCCACAAAACCAAACACCCGCGCACCCGGGAGCCTCCCTCCGGGTTGTGCCTCAGACGTGTTAGGTGACGGCTCCGGTGCCTGCTCCGCGACTCTGGGCCGGGCCCTGTGAGTGGAGGGACCGACAGCGGCCGCCGACATGCCTGGGACCAGGCACCACCCTGCAGGCCCTCTGGTGGCCCCGCACGGCAGGCGAGGGGTGGCGGGCAGGTGGCGTCACCTCTGCTATCATCTTCACCTTCCGAGTCCACACTCGGCCCTGACCCTGCCGCTCCCCCAGGTACGTGCCCGTCGAGGACCTGCTGGGCATCTACAGGGAGCTCTACGGCAAGGACGTCATCACCAAGCACGTCATCGTGGAGTGCACCTACCTTCAGTTCTTGGAGATGTAAGTGCGGCCGGAGAATCGCACAGGAGCGTGTCGCCGAATCCTGGCCCACGTCCTGGTGGCTCTGTGTCTGTCCTGGAGGCCCTGTGTCCATCCGGGGGGCCCTGTGTCCGCCTGGGGGGCCCTGTGTCCGTCTAGGGAACCCTGTGTCTGTCTGGGGGGCCCTGTGTCCGTCCGGGGGGCCCCGTGTCTGTCCTGGTGGCCCTGTGTCCGTCTGGGGGGTGCTGTGTCCGTCTGGGGGGCCCTGTGTCCGTCTGGGGAACCCTGTGTCTGTCTGGGAGGCCTGTGTCCGTCTGGGGAACCCTGTGTCTGTCTGGGGGGGCCCCGTGTCTGTCTGGGGGGCCCCGTGTCCGTCCTGGTGGCTCGGTGTCTTCAGTGAGGGTTGGTGGGTGGATTTAGCTGGCCCTGGGCGCTCACACGATAGTCGATGCAGCTCTTTCTTCGTTATTTGCTTCGCTCTCTGTGGGGCCACAGCTCATGGCCACGCTCACTGTGTGTTGCAGGTACGGCGAGGTGCTGGCTGTCTCCAAGGTACAGCCTCCTTCCCTGGAACCGCCCCGCGAGAGGCTCTGTGGGCCCGGGCAGCGAGCGGCCTGTCCTCCCCCATGCCCGCCCCTGCGTCCCACAGGCCTCGCGGGTTCCTGTGAGCACACCTGTGCTCCCTGAGCTCCGCCTCCTCCTCCGTGAGTGGCAGGCGGGGTCCCGCTGGGGCTGCTGGG